GAAGTTAGAGCAGAGTTATGTGATGTTGATGCTCGTGTTTTGCCATCCCCATCGGTAATTTTAACAATCTTAACTGTTTAAAGATGCTGGAGAAGTTTATTTTTTAATTTTAATCTGATGACGTGACTTAATATTGCAGCTCAGTTATCATGAAACAGGTGGAGAATCAAGGGTTGATCCAAGGATGGGTCAGTGGAATATGATTAATAAGGTGCCCAAAATTTTAATTTCGCCATTGGCTTATAGGTTGATGATCATCCACTTCACGAGTGTTATCATTTTGTTAATTTGCTGGAGTCTGTTAGTTGGCTTATTTGCTGTTAGTTCACTTATTTGTTTGGAGTTGATTAGGAATTTAGAACATGATTATATTTTATTTGTTTTCCCTTTCCCATCGTCCTCTTGGAATTCTTATTGAGTTTTCTATTCGTTTATAATCTATTATGGGCCCTTTCGATTAAGGGAATGAGATAGGAATGAAGATGGGAATGGAGGAGGGATGTCATTTAGCTAAATAAAATTTATGAATTAATCTGATCTAAACAATACAAACATCATTTGTTCCTATAAAAATTTGATAATTTTTCCATTGTGTTTTCTATGATTCTTAGAAGTATTATTCTCAAACATCTTATTCTTTGGGTACCTATGAGCATTCTGTGAAACTTGAAATTGAATGGCCCTTTGTTATTGTTCAAGACATTTTGTTGTAGTTATGATATAATTTTGCAACTTAGCTTTCAGAATGGAAGGATTTGATATACCTTTTTTGTGAAGTGAAAATATGTTGTTTTGATCAACTACTTTAACCTTATTCTTGTGGTATATTAGAAAATGATCAATGGTGGTACAGTAGAACATTGGGCATGTGTGACTTTCTCCTCACGGTTGGATAAAGATTTGCCATCTGAATTTTGCAAGCAGTTGGTTAACATGTGCAGAAGCAAAGGAATTGTAAGAACTATGAACTTCCTTTTTTGATAATGTGTTAACATGTCCTGGTTCGTTCTTGATAATGTGTTAATACGCTTTGAGATCTATTGAAAGGCTTTTGCCCCTGCTCCGTTGTTTCCCATACGTGCTGCACATCCAAATCAAATTGATACTACGCTTAGAGATATTCATAAGGACTCTGTAAACATTTTGGGACCCAAGGGCAAATCTCTTCAGCTACTCATAATTATTTTACCTGATGTTACTGGATCGTATGGTGAGCTAATCTTTTCTTCGTTAGAATATTATTCTCATTAAATACATTCCTGTGGGTGTGATCTTAGGCAACTCTGAATTGTGTTGGTCCCTGCAGGGAAGATTAAAAGGATTTGCGAGACAGAACTCGGAATTGTTTCACAATGTTGCCAGCCTAGGCAGGCACAGAAGCTAAACAAGCAATATTTTGAAAATGTGGCCCTTAAAATCAACGTTAAGGTGTGTGTGCTCTCTATTAGAGTTGAGATTATCTTTATAACTTCATTTGATTAATCGATTTAAGCGAACAAAAAATCTATAGGTTGGGGGAAGAAACAATGTCCTAACTGATGCTATTCTTCGGAAAATTCCTATTGTCTCGGAGAAGCCTACAATAATCTTTGGAGCAGATGTCACGCACCCGCAACCAGGAGAGGACTCTAGTCCTTCAATAGCAGCTGTAAGTTCTGCGTGCTTAATTTTCTAATTTTTATATGATTCTTTTGGTGAAGGCGTACATGGTTACTTTCAGGTTGTCGCCTCCATGGACTGGCCCGAGGTAACGAAGTATAGGGGTATTGTTTCAGCCCAAGCTCATCGTGAAGAAATTATACAAGATTTGTACAAACAATTTGAAGATCCTCAAAGAGGGTTGGTGCATGCAGGGATGATTAGGTAAGCAGCTGCAGAATAGTTATCTAACATTTGAAAACTACTGAAAACGATATCGTTTTTTTCGGTCTTTTCTCGACTATTTTTATATTATTTTTTGGTTGCCAGGGAGCTTTTTATTGCATTTAGAAGGTCAACGAATTTGAAACCGCACCGAATAATATTCTACAGGTCTGTTATTTTTTTTTATATTTTGGAGAATAAATGAATGAAGCTGGATTTAATCCATTTGTTTGATGATATTGGTTATACCATTGACAGAGATGGTGTAAGTGAAGGACAATTCTCTCAAGTTCTACTTTATGAGATGGATGCAATCAGGAAGGTACGATAGTAGTAAAAAATTACCATTGATCTTCACGTCCCCTTTTAAAGGACTAACTAAACTTGTCTTTGTTCTTGAGTCAGGCATGTGCCTCCCTTGAAGCGGATTACCAACCTCCGGTTACCTTTATAGTTGTGCAAAAGAGGCATCATACTCGTCTTTTCCCCACCAGTCGCGATACTGATCGGAGTGGAAACATCCTTCCGGGTTATTAATCTTATCCAATTTGTGGTTTTTGGAAGATGATTCTTGATTCACGAGTAATAATTTAGATTATGGTTTTTGTATTTGATGATAGGTACTGTTGTTGATACCAAAATTTGTCATCCAACTGAGTTTGATTTCTATTTAAACAGCCATGCTGGCATACAGGTTGCGAATCTTTCACCATTTTTACATATGTACTCACCATGTTCTTTCTGTGTTGGTTCAAATCTAAATTGACTTTTTGTTCTGTGATAGGGAACGAGTAGACCGACACATTATCACGTTCTATTCGACGAAAACAATTTCAGTGCAGATGAGATGCAAAAGCTTACCAATAATCTATGCTACACGTAAGTATTAAAATTGTTCTCATCAACTTTTATGTGTGCGATGCATGAATTATAGTGTTGGTGTTTTTCTGTTTTACAGGTATGCAAGGTGCACGCGGTCTGTTTCCATTGGTATGATGTGTTTAAACTTTCTAATAACATAATCCCTGAGTTTCCAGTTAAGTTAGCATTGGTTATAATGTTATAAAAATGTTTGTTTGGGTTTTTGATTTGCAGTTCCCCCAGCATACTATGCCCATCTAGCAGCTTTTCGAGCTCGTCACTACATGGAGGTTGATGCATCCGATAGCGGTTCCACGGGTTTGGGTGGTGGGATTGTTCAGGTTCAGCGGTTGCCGACCGTAAGGGAGAATGTGAAGGATGTTATGTTTTACTGCTGAAGGTGTTTTTGGGTTGGTTTGCTGTGGCTTTTGATTCACCTCTCCTTTGTAGGGTGGGTCTTATTTTGGTGCACTTATGAGTCCCTAAATTGGTGGAAGCAGCAGCAGCAGGTAGAAAAATACTCTTTTGTGGGATTTTGGTTTTGGCTGCTCTGCTCTGTTCTGTTCTGTTCTGATTCTTGTGGCTTATATTTTGGGGGATGGGAGCACATATCACATATCTACCTACTACCTGTGGGTGTTACTGTATGTGCATGTAAATACTACTAGTTGTATACCCAGGTTTCACTATCAACTATGCAATTTTTCTGATTTTAAGGAAAACCATGCCCTTCCCTAATTTGTGGTCCTATACGTTTTCGATACCTTCTATATCTCTTATCGTTATCGTAATGTATGATTTTTCTATCTAAACTTGACACTTTTGTTCATTTTTTATATGAATTTTCTGAATCCTAAATGTATGTCATTTATTTAATGAATCATCAACTTATTTGTGAAAAGAATTGAAAGATTGGTAAAAAAATGAAATCTTTTTACATATATGCTCAATACATGATGCTTGAATCACTGCAATAAAATGGTATTGTAAAAAGGTGTTGGAGTCGAACTTTAATGAGTATGTTAATGCCACTTTTTGAGGCTTTGAATTACACTATGTCGGGTAGGGTTTTAAAAAACTTCGATAAAATTCATAATCATTTGAACACAGAATTTAAAATCAATTTTAAATATTCAAACCATAACATGGATAAAAAAAAAGGCATAACAAATGACCACTAGACTGAAATGTTCACTAGTGATACCTACCTCCCAAACCATGTAAAATAGAAAAGTTGCATGAGTGAGTATAAAATACTCGTTAACTAAGTTCTATGGCTCTAAACTAGCTTCGACAGGACCCTTCACCTTTAATTATACCATATTTGCACAACATGGACTCTCATACCCGTGTGAGTAGGTAGGACCGGTGACCAAAGAAACTTCGTTTTTAATCTCATTATGAGTTGGTTGTTCGAAAGAGATTTTTTCTCAATCATAATAGTAGAAAGTATTAAAGAGATACATACCCCTTTTTGTTGTAGGCTTCGAAAAGGGGCATAGCCAATTAACCTATTATTTTTCTTTTTCAATGCTAATAACGGATGAAGGATATTTAAAAAATAATTCAATTTTTATTTTAATAATAATAAAATGGTGAGAACATTACAATTATCTAATAGTCAAGCTAAACAGATTTTTATGATTAATGGTAGGATATAAAAGTCCATTCGGTGGGCCATGTGAGTTAAATTACAAAAATATCCCTAAATTTTATCTTTAAATTTTTAAATATGTCTAAAAATTCTTAGGGATGAAAAACATTATTGGAAAATTACCTTTGAAATTAAAAAAATTTCAACTTTTAAAAAAGTTAAAAAATATATCCATGAAATTAAAAAAATTCATTTTTTTTTATTTTTAATACAAGAATGAAACCGTCTATGAACACTTCATAAATTATCTCCAAACTTTACTTTTGAATTTTTGAATTTTTAAAAAATGAATGAAACTCAAGTATTTTTTAAATAATTTTATCAATGTGTTTTTAAATATTTAGTTTTTTTTAAAGATTAAGAATATTGTTGAAATTTTTAGAAAATTTAAGAATATTTTTTATTTTTTATAATAAAATTTAAATAAATTTTTATCCATTTAGAAATTAATTGAAGATCCCAAGATTGGACGAATCAGAAACCAAGCAACTACCTCTCCTTAACCAATGAAAGAAATCAAATCATAAATTTTTTCTAATTAATTAATTTTTTATTCATTAAAATATTTATTCCACATTATCCATTCGAATTTAATTCCATATATAAATACTACACCTCTTTTTCCTTCGTCTTCTTCCGAGAAAAGCTCAAAACCTATTTAATGTTCACAACCAGAGAGCTCGTATCTCTCTCCAATGGCGCTCTATCCATCCCTACAGCTCATTCGATTCCCTCCTCAAGCACTCCCCTCGTCCTCTCGCCACCTTCTCATTTCTGACCTCGGCTCCGTATCGCGCTTCTTCCGATCTCCATGGCTTTCCTCTTTGCCTCCGTCGCAGAAGTGCAGGATGATTTTATCTTCCAGAACCAAGTGTTTCTCCATGTCCACTGAGGAGGATCAGTGGAGTGAATCGGAAGCGTTGATGTCCGATGTTGACGAAAGGGGAGATCGTGAGGATGATATTGGTGTTCAGCAAGAGAGCTCTGTGGTCTCTGCTGCTTCTGGGCAGAGGATTTCTTCCTCGTCGCCGAGTGATTATCTGTCGCTTGCGATTCGTGAGTCGGTTTATGAGGTCTGTTGCTTCGAAACGTTTTGTCTTTTTTTTTTTTACGTCAATTGCGTGTTTGCTGCTAGTTTCAATTCTGCAAGGAATTTATTTCTCGTCTTTGTTTGTTTTTGATGTTGGATTAGAGTACAAAGTTTTAACATCGAACTGAAAATTTGAATCAAGTTAATTATTGGTTCACGAGGGAGATTAGATGGGGAATGTTGAGTCTGCCAATGCCTATTCGTCGTCAGTTGCTAATAGGGGCAATTTTGTTGTTGATGTTGAAGAACGTTGAGTAGTAATAGTAAGACTTCCTTGCATCCATAAGTGATGTTCCAGTGTTGATGCTATGTTGCAATAGGTTTAATGTTAAAATTTTAAACAGTTTTAAGTGCATCTAATCTTGTAGTAATTTAATGTTTTTCTAATCTTTTGTTTTATGCCTTTTTTAGAGCTCATTCGAACTTCTACCTTGTTTCTAAGGTACACCAACGTTTGTTAGAGGACAAATCTTATTTCATACGCTCTGCATAAATCATACCCCATCAAAGACATGATGCAAAATTATGACTTTTGAGGAGTTTAATTCCTGGTATTCACTCCTCTTTGAGGTTAAAAAAAAAAAAAAAAAAAAAAACTTCTATTTTAAGGGCAGAATATTTACAAATTTAAGCTTATGGAAGAATATTTATAAAACTTCAGCTTATTTTAAGACCTCGTGTTATAATCCTTCCACTGATTGGAATTAATGGTTTGGGGGTTGTTATTGTTTTGATTTGATTCCTCAACCAAATCTTTTCCTGTGGAGATTTATCTGAGGGATTCTTTCTTAGATGAAGGGGAGATCTAACTCCCGATGTTCATCATTATCGACAACTTAGGTATTAGAGGTTAAAGCCAATGGTGCCGTATCTACTAGGAAGATAAACAGACGCCAGCTGTTGAAGTCAAGTGGTGAGTAAATCTTATCAGAACTTTCTGGTTCTCTTTTCGATGTTTAGCTTCTAGATGTATATGCCGTTGAAAACTTTTAGTCTGCATTGACTTCTGTGCACTTTCTTTCTGGAATGTAAAATTCTACCGGATGTCTCACTGTTGGATTTTTACCCCTTCACTGATAGATAACCGTGGGATGACAAATAATGTGATTTGCTACTTTTTGTTAAGAAACTATATATGTTTTCCTTTCATTATTTTTCTCTTGTGGATATTCTTTTAACTATCAGGGCTTCGTCCACGTGATGTCCGGAGTGTTGATCCATCTTTATTTTTGACAAACTCAATGCCTACATTACTGGTATGTTGATTTCCACCATTTTAGTTTCCGATTGTATCTTTTAGATTATAAGCTTTTTATGTTGAAGTGTTAGTATTTGGCATAAACATATGAAATTAAGAAATTAAAGTCGATAAATGATACTAGCAATATTTTTTTTGTGGTTCAAATCCCAGGTCCGTGAAAATGCTATTTTACTTAATCTGGGATCGCTGCGAGCAATAGCTATGCCGGACTGTGTCCTCATATTCGATTATAACCGGTATCCATCTAACTTGGAACTGGTGCCATATTCTTTCTCTCGTACAACATTTCTGACATTGCAATTCTTTTTGCATGATGGTGATCATCTTCAGTCCAGGAGGACAGGCTTTTATTGAATCATTGTTGCCACGATTGAACCCAAAAAGCATGAATGGAGTGCCAGCAATGCCATTTGAACTTGAGGTTAGTAATTCTTGTAAATATGGTAATTTACATCATATAATTAGACTTGGCAGATGCAAGCAAAATTAGCGTATGGACTGCGGTACTTCAGTACATCTACGGTAAGAAGTTTCCTAATGAGAATTTGGTCCCCAGGAAGCTTACTGCCAGAAGCAATGAAAAATTACCACTATCTGCTTTTGAGAATTCTTATACCATTCTGTGAATCCAAGTTGCTAAGGAGACCTGATAATTATTGTCAGCAGATGAAAGTGAGATTAGCTTCTGGGATTTGTTCATATGTTCTGACCATAAAGGTTTTCAAATTAGAATCTGGCCTTGAGAGGTCAATGAAAGGTTCCTACCAATTCTGAAGCTTACATCTAATTTTTTCTTCGAGACATAAGCAAGATATGGTCCACGAGTAGACACAAGTGTGAAAGATAGACTTGTTGAAAAGCCGGGTAAGGCTTTGGGCCTTAATCTCAAAAGTCGAGGTTCTGAAAGGAATTCGGGTCTGCAATTCTAGAGTCAAGTCCGTCCATATGAAACATTAATGCTCGCCAAATTTGGTGGCAATCGAACACTAGACGAACGCTCTACGACACTGTATGACCGTTTGCCAAAATGACGTCTACCTGAGGAGGATTGAAAATGCCTCAAAATGCACCTTAGGGGGAGGCATGGTGTCATCTGTCCACCGCCCACCGCCCTTGGGCCCTGTGGCCTAAGAGAATTACCTTGTTGCACATACGTGTATCACAGTGAGGGCGAACGTTGATTGTCTCAGGCGACTCCCTTTGAAATGAGTGTTTCAAGGACAATATCGGATGGTACAAGTGTGTTGGTATTGTGCCCCAACCCATGTGTCGGAGGTTGGATTATGCACCTACTATTCGGTACGGAGTCCATAAATGACATGGCATGGGCATGGGAGGTCCAATGCCTCAATATAACTCGGATGGATAGATGTTCGGGATGCTATGATGTTATGAACGACACAAGGGCTCGTTCTCGTTGGCATGACCGAGTGAGTTGCGATGGCCGACGGCACCCCGTGACTTGGGATGACGTCAATACATATGGGCCATGTTAATTGGGAACAAAAATGATGTTGGATGCCATGTTGCATACGAGAGACCTTGGCCTCGAGTAAAGGCAAGGTTGAGCCGAATGACTTGGTCTAGTGTACAGGCAAGTCGATTGTGTCGTAGATGATTGAACATGCATGCGCAGGCGGTGTGTGTGGCCGAACAAGCTTGGATCCTGCACAACCCGATGTTCGGTTGGCAAAGACAAATCTCACCTAAGATTCGATGAAGCCACAAAGCCAGGCGAAAAATGAATATGGGACTTGGGTTCCCCTCAAGGCTGGTCTTGAGTGTGTCATGATCACGATGCTGCACGATTGAAAAAGTACGACCGTGACACCTTACACCTACAAACTTTGCATGCCTTTCAAGAGTTGTGGGAATGCGATCTTCTTTAATCTATCATTTTATGAATTGTGGGAATGCGATCAAACTTCTATATTGGTTGGACAGGGAGACGACGTATATAAATGAAAGACAACGACTCATTGATACGATATGTTTTAGGTGAAATAAAAAATTTAAGGCATGGAGACTATGCTCAAATTGGATAGTACCATACCATTCGAAAGAGCTATGTGGGGGGTTCGTTGTCTTTGACAAAATGGTTCAAAACCGTAGTCTAAAACTAGCTGTGTTAGTAAAATCCTCATAGTCACAACAAATTAATAGTCACAACAAATTAGTGAACCTTAAGAGTCATATGAAATTGTAGATGAAACCCTAGATTGAACAAAAACTACTTGAGTGAAGAGCTAGTAGAGCTCTAGCAAGTTTAGCATACTGATAGAAAGATAAAGAATAGTACTATAAGTTTGGTAGATTGATTTGGAGAGTATCTTTGTTCATGGGGAGGAGATTATGTTAGGATCGCACAAAAACGTACACACTCGATCTAGATGAACACAAAGAACAGGAGAGAGAACATGCAAGGAGAACTCTAACTAAAAGGATTTGTATTGATGACGTCAGATATGTATGGTAAGAGAGAATACAGAGAATATAGAAAAATACATTTTCAAAGCTCGGACGGAGGGGATATATATATGGTTCAGCTTACTATATATAGCTTTACCAGATATTACCATTTACTATATATAACTATCTACCATACATAACTTTACCGGATATAGTTTTTTACTATTTATGACAAATTACTTTATATGTCATTTACCATATATGCTTTACTATATATAACTGTTGACTAAGCTATAAATAAGCAACAGACTCCATAACCTAACAATTCTTCCATTTGGAGACTGATCCAGTCAACCAAGAATTTCATTCTCACTGCACCATACCAATTGAGGTTTTGCACAACCTCAATATTCCAACATCAACACATTTTGTCAACATGTTTGCTGGATTCTTTGCACCCTCTATATTCTCTAAACACATCACCATCTTCCGCTAACCTGCGAGTGAAATGGTATCGCCTTCTGTGTTTTTCTTTAAATGATGGACCGGGTTCCTCATCAATTGTATGACACTCTGACTATCTCTATAAAGAATCTTTTCGTGTTGCTTCATGTTCAATTCTTCTAGATAGTCAGTCATCTATATCGTCTCCGTTCCAGCTTCAACTATTGCCACGTACTCAGCCTCAGTACAACGCATTTTTGAAGTCTGACATCCCATCATCATCCATGACTTGCTCCCACTTGGTTGTATCCTCCAACTGTAAGGCCTCATCAAAGGACTCTAGTTCCCTTTCATCAGAGTCAACAACAGATAGTGTAATGAAGGTACATACATATATGGTACTCTGATAGTACTGGATGATCTTCTCAACGCCGATTCAGGTGTCACTTGCTCCACTGCTAGTTCCTCTCCAACAGTCTCAGAAGTTTCTTGAGTATCTGCCGCCTTCAACAGATCTGACGTTGTCTTCTCCTTGATGATGTTGAACGCCACATTTCTGGATAGCGTCAACCGAATCAACCCTAACGCTTGTCATTCCTTGAGCTTCCACTGCTCCTTGGTCATGGTATCCAGCATAGCCCCCAAAAAGGGTTCGTGAAGATCTTTTTGGTACAAATAATCTTCAATCTGCAACTTCCAGAAACCAAAATTGGATCCATCAATTTTCTCAATTCCAATTTTTAAGCTTTCCATCTTCACAGATCGTGGTGAATTCCACCTAGCTCTAATACCAGTTGTTAGGATCACACAACAACGCAAACACTCGATCTAGATGAACACAAAGAACAGGAGAGAGAAGATGCAAAGAGAACTCTGGCTAAAAGGATTTGTATTGATGACTTCAGGTATGTACAGTAAGAGAGAATACAAAAAATACATAGAACTACATTTTCAAAGCTCGGACTGAAGGGATATATATATATATGGTTCAACTTACTATATATAACTTTACCGGATATAACCATCTACTATATATAACTATCTACCATATTGTCTTTTTAACTATTTACTATTTATGACAATTTACTTTATATGTCATTTACCATATATAGCTTTACTATGTATAATGGTTTACTGAGCTATAAATAAGCAACAGGTTCATACCTAACCTATTAAGGGTGTGATAGTGGTCAACAATGCTATATCCCATAACGTGATCTCTGGTTGGGCAAGCATGTTGCCTGCCTTGATAATAGCAAGCTATTGTTGCTAGTAGGGAGTAGATAAACGAATGACTATATAAGGGGACTCAGGTGGTATTTTGTCGAGGAAAAGATTATTAAGAGTGTAAACAAAGTCTAATATTAGTTAGTGAAAGGAAAATTCTACGGTATACAAGGGAGGACAATTATCTTCAATGATACAAGGCTTATTGGGTAAAACTGAAAGCAAACTGGTGAGAGTTTATGTCCAAAGTAGCTAACATCATACCATTGTAGGAGTACAAATAAAGTCCCATATTGTCTAAGAATAGGAAAGATCCATGCTATATAAGTGAGAACAATTATTCCTATGATATGAGACTTTTGTGTAAAACTGAAAAATGTTACGAGGGTTTATGCCAAAGTGGAAACATGTGGAGAGTTCATTAATCCTAACATGAGATAGGTAGAGAGTTTGTTGTTCGCATATCTTTACAGATGTGCACAAGGTAATGATATTATCTACATATATCCAATGGGGACAATGAACTCTCCATATTTCTCCACAATGGTATGATATTGTCCACTTTGGGTATAAGCTAGTTTTAGTTTTGTTCAAAAGACCTCGTATCAGCGAAGATAATTATCTTCATTTATATATCACGAATCTTTCCATTTTCTAGACAATGTGAGACCTTTGTTTACTTTTCTAAACGGGCTTTCTCATTTTATATTAGAGAAAGGGCTTTCTCCTTTTAAATTAGTTGTCTCTGAGTCTAAAAATTTGTTATATGTGCTATCAGTTAGCCCAACGATAGAAGGATGAGAGATTCTCATCATGGAGAGATTTAGATTTAGTTCTTGATCTCTAAAAAAATTTCTTCTTTTTCTGTGAAATCGAAATGCTGGAACTTTAGGCTGAGCCTAATGTCATTTTGAGAATCAAAGTGGAGATAAGAGTCTTCTAAATCAACCAAGGCCCTTTATCACGAAAAGAAACCCTTTCTTTTTTACTAGTGAGCATCTCCGACAACCTCTTTGTTCCAAACTTGACGGATGATTATAAAGCTTTCAATTTTGTCATATAATCATGTTCCACCCAACCTTGCATACGTGCTTTATCCAGGTAGACTATTACATTAATATTTTTCATTTTTTTAATGATCAAGCTGCATATTTTCAAACCTGAAAGAGGTGAGAGCCCACATTTGTATCCCCCAGCCAGCCTTTCGAGTAGGACAGGAAATGATTAGAAGTTATTCTCCCTAATCTAGAAACCCAGCAATTTGGACATCACTTTTGAGTGGCCAAGAAAGTTTTTCAGCTTGTCAAAAAGCTTCATATTTCTTGTTGGGCTATATTGTAGTTAGCAGAGGAGAAAACTTGACAAAAAATGACTAGGCTGCGAATGAAAGTTTCTCATAACGATGAAAAAGAAAATCGGACTGGAAAGGAACCAGTCTTTCTTGAATCCGTGGTTTATTTCAATAGTTCATGGTCATGTGTTCTCGTAACTTGCATTAATCTTGCTTGATGTTCATCTTAAGCACTCTCTTCTTTAAGTTGTATTACCGTAGTTTGTTTTTTTATATTTTAGGTTGTTGAAGCTGCATTGCTTTCACGAACACAGCGTTTGGAGCAGCGACTAATGAAAGTAGAACCTCGTGTGAGTATGGGAACATAGTGAGTATAAATATAAAAATTCGTTTTCTGTTTCTCCCATTTAGTCTTGTTTTTCCCCTAGAAAAGATCAGAGTAGAATAAACTTGATCAATCTGCCACCAGTTCGACCTGGACAGATTTAGTATTCATTGCTTTATCTTCTTCGTCAGTCTAGAATTGCTATTGTAGGCTTGATTTTGTATGTTTGTTTCAATGTTAATAAATTTACACGTTGTGGTTTTTGTGAAATTTATTCTCTTAGTCTTGATTGAAAAATTATAATGCTTATACAGAGTTGTGGCTACATGAAACAAATGGACAAATTTCTTAGACTAGGCGACAAACTTGAAGAAAAATTGAAGTTCTCAGTTGGGTTCAATTCCTTTGTGCATTCTTCTGGCCTTAGGATCCTTCTATGTTTCGAAAACAATATTATTGGGTATTAATTACAATGATAAGTTTTTTTTAATACGTATATTCCTCTAGAGAACCAAAAGAGATGGCCTAAGAGCAGTGAGTAGAGATTATCCCTCCCCTAAAGAACTAACAAAGGAAAGCTTTCGAATTGTTAATAATCATTAAAGGACTAATTACAAAAGAATTTAGCATGATTTGTACCCACCAAGAGGCATTCTGTTGTAGCAAAAACAAAAATAATCAAAAGGAGAGAACTTATTTTCAAACACCTGGTTGTTCCTTTCCCTCCAAAGGCCCCGAGGAAGAGAGCGCGTTGCACAACGCCAAATTGCTTTTCCCCTATCACCAACAAACCTTCCAAAACTCAACGCTTAAAATAAACCCTGGAACCCTTTATCCACAAAAAGGGGGCAGTAAAGGACGAAATGGTCTAGGGATTCTTCCTTCTGTAAACATACACAACAAACAGAGGGAAACATCACCCAATTTCGGCATTTCCTTCTGAAGTTTTTCGTGAGTATTCAAACTTCTGAGACAGCGACCTAAGGAAGACTTCGACCTTTTTTGGCATCTTAAATTTCCAAATTAAATGTCAATGGGGCAAAGATTCGTCTCCCCATTGGTTGGCTTAAAATAAAGTTGACATTGCACTCTATTGCTCGTGGTATTTTTATTATAAAATTTCAGAATACACGACCACCACCACCACAAAAAAAAAAAAAAAAAAAAAAAAAAAA